TGCTCTTTCGAAAGAAGGCGTTCTTGAAAGCAAACAGGCTTTTTAGAAAGAGAGCATCCAGACTCACTGGGTGCTTTCTTTTGAAAAAGCGGCTTGCTTTTTCGAAATTCCGCGTGCAGTCTAGACGCTCTCTTTCGAAAGAGGCTCTTTCGAAAGTATCTTTCGAAAGAGCCTCTTTCGAAAGAGGCTTGCAGTCTAGACATAGCCTTTGGGATGTTTGAGTTGCTCTCTCTGTGTCACTCCCCACTCACTCAGTGTGAGTTCTGGGGATCAAGCAGGTTACACATGAAACTATCAGGGGCTGCTCAGTGTGCCACACAGTTTTGTAGAGCTTTGTAGCCTTGAAGGCCAGAAGAGACAATTAGATCAGCTAATCTGACCCCATAACATGTCACAGCCTCCCATTATGGCAAGTAGTGAGTTTTGGACTAAAGCACACTCCAACAAGGCATCTGGTCTTCACTGGAAGACGTCTAGAAATGGAGAAAGCACCACTTCCCTTGGTAGTTTGGAGGGATGGGAATTGATGCCAAAGCCACACCCAACAGTCTGCATCATAACACACATGCACAACGGTCATTTCTGTCTACTTTCTCGTGGTGGTAGGCCCTGTTTTTTTGTAGCATAGTGGTTATCACATTCGCTTCACACGTAAAAGGTCCCTGGTTCATAACCAGGCAGAAACAGGTCTCCTTTGATACTAAGCCCCGGCTAGGATGACTTAGTTGGGATTGGTCCTGTTTTGGGTAGAGGGCTGGACTCAATGACCTTCTGAGTTCTCTTCCAGTCCTAGGATTCTATGATTCTTACACACCACTGTGCTAATGTACAAGTAACCTTAATTCTGGTGTTTCCTAATGCTTAAAGGCCTGGGCGACAGACAGTCCTTCATAACTATATAGCTGTTTTGGGTAGGCCTGCATATCTGTGTTTATTGCTATCTACATAGTTGTCCCAGCACAACTTTTAGGATGTGGAGATACATATTTTCATGGAAATGCCTTGTGTCGTTGCTTCTTCCCCTTGCTATCATGGTGGAAAGCACCTTTAGGCAGAGATGACTGTGTCCATAGGGAGATTGTATCTCTTGAACTACCCTAGTAGAGCTCAAGCACTACCACTTTCCAGTGTGACAAGCCCCTGCTCACCAACACTCATGCACTTCCAGACTGAATTAAAACAAAGACGTCAGCCTCTTACAGAGCTTTATTTCAGTGCCCCTCTTTTTCAAAGTGCACCCTTTAAGCTGCCCTGAAGTTGACAGCAGCCCTTTCAGCACCTCTGACTGCTCAAGTATCTCGCTGCTCAAAACTCTGTTGCCAAGTGCTCAGTTCTAGTACCCCACCCCTGAGCAAACCACTACCCCTTAGGGTCACACACATTATGCAAGCTGCAACATGCTGCAATAACCATGGGACTACTGTCCTCACTGAGGTCTAGCCTCCTATAGAGACACTTCCATCTCTCCTCAATTTGACCACCTGCTCAGCTTGTTGTTAAAATGCTCCTTACTATTGTTCAGATGCCCCATATATTTTGCCCAGCTTCGTAATGTGATCAAGAATTTGAAGCAACAATTGCCTCCTATCCTCAGGAATGAGGAATGCAGGAACTACAAAATGGGGAGTGTATCCCGAAGACCAGTGACTCTGAGAAGTATTGAGGGGGGTCACAGAGTGGGCAAGCAACTCAGCATGAGCTCTCGGGGCAATGCTGCGGCAAAAGTGCTTCTGTAATTCCCCAATATAAATAGGGGAATGGTGGGACTAGGGAGGGGATTTTACCTCTGAATGCAGCACTGGTGAGACCCAGACTAAAATAGTGCCCTCTGGACATTCAGTAATGGAATTAAAAGTAGCCATTCCTCTAAAAAAGACTGTTACCAGCTGATTACAAGAGGGAGACATTTACAATTGGAGTTCATTTACAAATTCAATTCTATCAACTTAGGTTTGAATAAAGATCTTTTCATATTTCCATCTCCACATCAAATGCTGCAAATGAGACTCAATCACCCTGACTTAATTAGCCTCATTAATACTCATCTTACAATTGACAGGTAATTTCTTTGATATTATATGTACCACAGACTTTGCAGTCTCTACTCCAACTCATTTGATGAAATGGGTTTTACCATGAAAACATGTAACGTAATAAATCTCTAAAATGCCACAGGCCTCCTAATTTTTACTTAAGGATTAATTTAATCCGCATTAAAGAGCTCCAACATAGCAAAATGATCTCTTAGCCTTAACTCATATGGTTGTTAGTGCTCAGGATCCAGGGGAAAAGATATTGAGAATATTGGATGGAAAAAGCAGATGGAGAAATGATGCAATATATTTTCATGCATTAACTCTATCCAGGGATGTCAGTTTAATATTATATCTAACTTGCTTAGAAATTACTTTGATTTTATGTAAAATTAATAAAACTATGAAAATGCAATTTAAAAAGCATGTTGTTGTGTGTAAGGAGATGGAGGATAAATACACAACTCAGCTTACTTTAACTTTCATATATATCTAGTGGCTTATTTTATTTATCACTGAGGCTCCAGAGAAGACACTGGGATGACAAGGACTCCAGAAGAAACAGTCACAATCCATTGCAAAGCCACTGCAAGTGCTGGCAACTGTACCATCTGGTGCCAACAGAACTCAGTACAACCTTATTATTCTGGCTCTAGCCTGCCTTGAGAGGTTCCAGCCTGGCTCGGGAGCGGGGCAGCTAAGCAAGGAAGGACTCTGACTGTCAGTGTGGTTGACACAGATGATGGAGATCATCACCGAGACGGTGTCAGCTTCCCTCACACAATGACACAGCTCTGTCTCAAAACCTGCTGGGTCTCTTCAACTCCTGTGATTCCACAGGAACAGCTGCTGCCTGCAGAGAAGCCCAGAGCCAATGCGGCTGTTGCAGTCCAGCTAACTGCTCTGTGTCTAGACTGATATGCACAGGGCTAGACTCTGCTACCGCCAGCAGCGGATATAGGGCAGGGTGAGCGGGGCAGCTGCCCTGGGCCCCGCACTTCAATAGGCCCCGCACCAGCCCCGCTCCCCCTGCCGTATATCTGCCGCTGACCACACCACAATTCTGACTAAAATACCATAGGCTGAAATAAACATTCACCGGAGCTGTAGGAGTGACAGTTCAGCATAGGAAAGGGGATGTGGTTTATGGGCAAATCTACATACAGTAATAGAATATAGACAAATGTAACTTTTGGAGTGCTCTGTGCATGGCACTTATTTAAAGTTATAACTGAAACAGAACAACAAAATTAGTATTGATATGCTTTTTTGGGTACTGCATGGCAGCTAAGTAGAATTTTGTGGTTTCCTTTTAGGTATTTATATTGTATTAATCATTATTGGTATCTAGGCTTCTTACTTTAACTGATTTATAAATGAGCAAATATTTGGACCGATGTTAGCCTCATATTTGGCATAAATTGGCACAGCTTTGTGTGTGTATTCCACGCTCACCTGTACCAATTTGCAAAGGGATGCCAGAACTTTATGTGCCCTGTGAGTTGGAACCTCTTTATTGGTAGCTTTTTTGCTTTGATATTATCTAGAATATTTTTATCATTTGTTTTGCCTAGAAGAGTGAAGGAGAGCTACTCTATCATCTAATTTTACATTACTGCATCACCAATCTTCTCAACCTCTCCAATATATGGAAAATCCATTCCGTCAAACTAAGAGAGTTTTGTGATATATGTTAGCTGATTACACAGCAAAGCATCAGATCAGAAGTAACAACTATGTCGGTTTTGATCTTTATATACCTTTTCTCCTCATAGATGTTTCCATAGTATTTCTACAGCTATGGAACTACCAATGTTTCCATTATAATCCCTTAGTTTGATACTCTTGGTGCTACTCTTGGATTTGAAGATCAATCAGCCAATAAGTGGGTGAGATCCCACACCCACATACAATACTGAATTCAGAGGAAGGGAAGATTTTTACATTGTGAAGGAGTCTGGGTTCATATCTTGTAGGAAGCAGTAATGGTCGGAGCATTTTTGCATCTGGGAAACAGACTGGGTGAGTGCAAATATCCTGTGGAGAGTAGCTGAGTTCAGTAGCCGGAAAAGAAGGTTAGTGTTCAGGGTGTATCTAAAAGAATCAGAAGTTACAGACAAGAATGCTTATCTGCAGTGTTCAACAGGTTAGTAGACAATGCAGATCCAGTCACACATTTTCTTGTAAAATATACATGCCACCGCACAGCGAGTGACCTTTCGGGGGGCTGCTGCTGGAAATGGAGAGGGTGGCTGCAAGCAAACTCATAGCCCAGAGTACTAGGGGAACCAGTAGGAGAGAGTATGGAGGGGGCAGACTGCTCGGGGTTTTCCTTATGTCTCTGCTGAGGCCTTGTAAACTGATGTGCTGTGACCTGGAATTCTAAGGAGGCCAATTTTCTTCCACTATTTGATCTGAGGAAGTGGGTCTGGCCCACGAAAGCTCATCATCTAATAAACCATCTTGTTAGTCTTTAAAGTGCTACATAGTCCTGTTTTTTGTTTAAGGAGGACGTGACACTCTTGATCATTAGAACAGCAAACAGGGGATGTCTGCAGGAGCATCCCCTTGGAGAACCTCCCTACTCTCACATTTCAAGCCTGTGTTCAATGTTGCCTTGTGCAGGAGAGTAATTTATGTTAAAAAGACTATGGACAATCTGTCAAGCCGAAGGCTAGGGAGCTTTCATGAAATGAAAAGGTATCAGATCCAGAGTAACCCAAAACAGCTGGGGTAAGGCTTGATTTTTTATTGTTCTCCACCCCCAGCTTTTATCCTTTTCTTTATGCTCCACTCACGGGATGGGTCTCATGGGTATGAAGTCTATTCAATGTGCAGAGAGAAGGGACATTTACACAGAGCTGCTGCTTTACATGTTTCCACCCCAGCGACAATCCCCTGTTGTTAAGAGCAGATATAAACATGTCACTTGAACCGTTTGTGCTTCTGAGCTCCACAGCTGCCAACATGATCTCCTGGACTCAGTTTCTCTGGCTCCTTGTGCTCTGCATTCAGGGTAAGAGAAATAACAGGGGAAATTACCTTGAACATACTAGGATGCAGATATTCAGAGATTCCGCTTCAAGCAATGATTCCCAGAGGCATTCAGAGTGTTAGTGAAGAAGGAGTATGAGGTGAAGCTTTCTAATTAGTTACAATGTATAAGATTTGAGTCACTTTACATTTGTTTTTCTTTTAATTTTTCTCTCCCATCCAGACTCCAGCGGGCAGATCGTGCTGACTCAGACACCAGAATCCCTGGCAGTGTCTCCAGGAGACACAGTCACTATCCGCTGCAAAGCCAGTTCCAGCCTCACCAGTGGTAGTTATCAACGGCTAGCCTGGTACCAACAGAAATCAGGACAAGCACCTAAGCTCCTCATCTACAACGCTTCCACGCGTCAATCTGGGGTCCCAGACCGGTTCAGTGGCAGTGGGTCGGGCACTGACTACACATTCACCATCAGCAGGGTTGAAGCAGATGATGCTGGAAATTATTACTGTAAGCAGCATTACACCACCCCTCTCACACAGTGATACAGACCAGCACAAAAACCTCCCTGCTCTGTTTAGTTTCAGGCTGTCACTCATAGTATTTCAGCTGCTTCCTCTGTAGCATCCTGGTGCTCATGATTCTGCAAAGCTGCCCCCAGGCTGGGAGTGAGTCAGACTTGGGTCTGTTCCCTCTTTGCCCCAGATCTTAGTCCTTTCAAATGTTCCCTCCCACCAAGTGGTTCAGCACTTTTCCCTCCGCTACCATTGCTCCTCTACCACTAACAGGGATCTGCTCTGAAAGGCTGCATGAAGCTTCCTACTGACAGCCACTGTGACAGGCTGCTGGTTAAGCCGGAGCCCTGCCACTACAGCCTGGTTGCAAAGAACAGTTGAGCAGGCCCATGCCTGAGGGGCTAATGGGAAACAAAGGTGGGCCTCATTAGCCAGAGGGTTAGAAAATACAGCAACAGCTAAAGTAGCTGGGGAGGAGTGGGAGAATGGGGGACTGTGCTTCCCCAGACAGCTGGAGAGGCCGGCTGAGTTTGCTGCTGGAACAAAGCTCTGTAAATAGAAGGTGGGGAAATCGGTGTGGACAAAAAAGTCACATACGTGACTTGCACAAGAGGGAATTTCCACTTGATTTGTGACAGAAGAAGCGGTTGCAGGGGGAGGGGCCTGAGCAAGGACCTTGCCACACAGCTTGCAATGGGAATACTTTGTACTGAGCAGAGAGCTGTACTCCAGCTTCCTAACGCCCCGGAGGGACACTGCAAGAGTCTAACCCATGTCCTCAAATATTAGCAACTGGAGAATTCCCATTTTGATTTAAAATGTTTAATGGACCCTCAAATCCCCTTCTCAGCCCCAGGCCCCATCATCACCCCACCTTTTCCCACCACTACTCCATTCCTTCCCCAATACATCTGTCCCCTCCATTTTGTCCCACCCTCCACTCCGCTCTGTCCACCAGGGTCCCACCTCTTCCCGCCCCTGCTCCAGCCTTCACCCTAATTTTCCCACCCCTCCCCTAAGCATCGTCTCTCCCCACTTTTCCACCCTCTATTCCAGCACCTCCCACATGCTACTGAACAGCTGTTCCTTGGCATGCAAGAGGTCTGAGGAAGGAGAGGGAGACCCCCGTGCACCCTACTTTGAGAAACACAGGCTGTCTCCAAACAAGGTCAACTGAAAGCTGCTCCTTGATTCCTCTACTTATCTAGCAAAACACAGTCACTGAGGCAGCTCCCCTTTTGTGGAAGAAACACCTCAGCAGGGTTGAGACTCTGGCAAAAACTGAACCCAGAACTCCTCACTGGCACCCAAAAGCTACAGATCTCAGTGATAAAAAGAACTGAGCCCACCTGCTGGTGCACCGAGGATGAATTCTGGGTCACATTTATGCTAGCACAGGTGCAGTCATGGGGCTGTGGGTGCTGGGGCAATAGGAGGAGGAACACAGCAATCATTGTATCTGAGCAGTGGTCCATCAAATCCAACATCATTCTCCAGCTGTGGCCTGTCTCTGCTACCCCAAAGGAATCATATAGGGTACGTCTACACTACAGCGCTAGTTCGAACTAACTTAGTTCGAATTAGTTAATTCGAACTAAGCTAGTTCGAACTAGCGCATCTAGAACTAAAAACTAGTTCGAACTAGCGTTTTGCTAGTTCGAACTAGCGCGTCCACACTGATTGGACGCAGGGGGGCATTTAAGGGCAGCTGAAACCGGTTCTGGCAGGGCATCAGGTCAGCAGTTGCTTTGTGTGGCTGCTGTCTGAGGCTATCTGAGGCTCGTGCTTAAAGGGACCCCCCCCGGACAGCCGGTTCTCAGCTTTTCCTGCTTGCTTGCCAACCTCGCCGAGGGACAGCAAAGCGTCGGTCTCTGTGCCCGTCTGTGTCGGTGCTTCCCTTCGGGGGGGCATCTGGGGCTCGGGCTTAAAGGGACCCCCCCGGGACAGCCGGTTCTCAGCTTTTCCTGCTTGCTTGCCAACCTCGCCGAGGGACAGCAAAGCGTCGGTCTCTGTGCCCGTCTGTGTCGGTGCTTCCCTTCGGGGGGGCCGCCGCAGGTGGGCAACATGGAGCCACGGCTCGCCCTGCACCTTCTGGTGCACGTTCTGGACTTGCT